TGAGAGTCAACATCCAATTACTAGAAAGGAAAACAATCGAGATACAGCTCAACCAAAGAATGGATAGAAAAAAATGTGGTAAATTTACACAATGGAGAATTGTTCAGTTAACTAAAACCAATAACATCATAAAACATGCAGGATTGCCTAATGGACTGGACTTAAAAAGATCATCCTGAGTGAGGTAATCTAGACCCAGAAGGACAAACATGACAGTGTGGATATTACTGTAAAACAAAGGATAACCGAGCCACAATCCTTAGACCCCAAGAAGCTAAGGAACAAGGAGGGATCAAGGGAGTTCTCTTGAATCTCCCTCACAAGGTGGAATAGAACAGACAGCATGGGTGGTAGGGGTGGAGGAGAAGATGGTGGAGGAAATGGAAATAGGAAGGATTAAGAAAGGGGAAACAGGGAGAGACAGCTGGGGTGGGAGAGGGGCATCTCTCCAATGACCTAGAAACCTAGGGTGACAGATATCAAAGGAGTCTACGACAGTGATCACAGCTAAGACCCCTAACAACGGAGGACACAGAGCCGAAACAGACCATCTCCTGGAATCAGGTTAAGACTTCTATCTAATAGAGGAGTTAGGACACTAATACAAGCCACAAAATCTCTGACCTACAATTTGTCCTACCTACAAAATACACTGGGGAGAAATGGAACAGAAATTGAGGGACTGGCTGAGACCCCTGCTATGGGAGGGAGCACACCCCTGACACTGTTAATGATATTGTGCAATGCTTGCAGACAGGACCTTAGCATAACTGTCATCAGAGAGGCCTAACCTAGCAACTGATGGAAACAAATGTGAAGTCCCACAGCCAAATGTTAGGCAGAGCTTGGGGAATCCTGCAGAAGAGGGAAGGAAAGATTGTAGGAGCCAGAGAGGTCAAGGACACCACAAGAAAACCCACAGAATCAACTCACCTGGGCCCACAGGGGCTCACAGACTGAACTGCCAGCCAGAGGGCAGGCATGCGATGGAGCTAGGCCCTCGGCACAGACAGCGGGGTGGATTGATCTTCTCGTGGGACTCCTAACAGCGGGCGCAGAGGCTGTCTCTGAGTCTGATGCTAGTCTTTAGAGCCCTTTCCTGCTTCTGGCCTGCCTTGCTAGCCTCAATAGGAGCTAATACTTACTGCAACCCAATATGCCAAAGCTGGTTGATATCCATAGTACGATATCCTTTTATGAAGAGAAAGGGAGGAGGAGGAGATGTGGGAGGTGAAAGTGAAAAGACTGGGAGGAGAGGAAACTTCATTCAGAATATAAATTAATTTGTTCATTATTAATATAAAAAGAAACACTTAAAAATTAAAAAAAATTGTTATCTTGTTTCTATGCAGTCTGCAGAGGGGTTAGTGTAGAGCAGGGCAAACACATACGTTGCTACTGGGAGTCAAAAAACAACTCTGTGGAGTCTCTCCTTATGGTTTTAGGTGGGATTGGAGGACTGAATTCACATGGTCATGTGTATCTTATGCATTCAAACACCTTTGCTCACCCAGACATCCTGCTGT